GATTTTCCGGGGAAGGACTTGGCCCGTTTCGTACAAACGCCGGGTTTCAGAATGATGCTTCGGGTTGGAAGACGCTTGTATAACCGCCTCGCGAACCTAGAACGGTATGGTCATGTCATAATAATGAGGTTGATTCGCGTTAGCCCAGCGCACCTGCGTCGGTAAGGAATCAAATTCCCCCTTCGTCATCACAACTGCTGACACGCGTTCGTAGGTACCAAGATAGCAGCGCATGGCAGAGACGATGGCAGATAGCTCATTGTGTGATCCCGTGAGCTTGTTGTCTTGTGCCTCTCGCCAATTGCCTTTCTTCGATCTCATGCGTGTCGGTTTCACTAGGTATCCAAAATCGTACGGGCTCTCCCAGACGGCTTCATTGTTGACAAACACATGCTTCACAGATCCGCTGGACAGTCATATTAACATAGAATGACAGTAAGTAACATGAGACTTACAAAATCTGCGAGGTTGGCACAACGAAAATACTTAGGGTTCGAAGGGAACATCAAGACAACTGTAATGCTACGGACCGGCACCAATGCTTTCACAAGCTTGTTGATAGAGCGTTCCGGAGAACAAATGGGCAGTAGGGAATTACTTTCCACTTCGTTTTGCGGTAGCTGAGATGTCTGGGTGAAGGAGCCTTCCCATTGTTGGATCAAGGTTTGTGCGTTCGCGGACTCCCTCGTGAGACGCGCTACTTCTGCAGCCAGAGAGGCATTGCAGTCCTTGGACCACCCCTTCGTCAGAAGTCACGGAAATTCAACGTGCATGAGCTCACCTCAGCTGCCCGGAGTCGGCGGCGAAGCTGTTCGGTCTCCTCGCTCTGAAATTTCAGCACGATCTGGACTGTGCCTGGTGGTACGTCTATGGCAACTGAAGACATGCCGCGGTGTCTAAGAGCGATGTATGGGAGTTCCTGTGTGCTGCAAGTCTTGCAAGTCTTATACTTGGACTCGCGTTGTTTCCATGAGGCTTGCAGAAGGCTTCCAGGGTGTCTATCCCCACGTTATGACAGTACAGATAGAACTTTGATAGTGGGGGGTAAGGTTCTGGGTCGGTTGGGGAAGGTGGCGAATCAAATCTCAGTTGAGCTTATTGAACCGAGACCGGACCCGGGGGCGAGATAGGTTTGAGGATGACCATATGTGTGCACTGTCGATCCTAATTTGACACCATGTAAGAATCCGTTTTTTGTGCAGCGCACATTGGCAAGAGCATGATTACTTACTACCCCAACCGAGCCTTCCTGTCCTCCTCGTCCGTTCACGTTGACAGCATGCCACAGATCCCTCAGCCATCACATTGGGGAATTCGACGAATATCAGATGCTTGTTGAGAGAGTAACTGATTATGAATCATAGAGCCGGCGTGCGGATGCCTCCGTCTGAGTGTCCGTTTTCACGCTCAAGTCCAGGTGAGAATCGCTTCGTGCCGAGCAACAACCAAACGCCATTTACAGTGTGGTCGTAGAGTGTACCAAACATTTCCCAAAGAAGACATTGTGACTGCAAGCAGAAAGTGTCTTTAGTCGGGACCGACTGTCCGTATTTGGTTAGCAACGATATCGGCGCTACATCCTGATTTTGGCGCCAAATATCGACCTCTCACCGTAGACTAGTATATGTCCAGTACACACGAATGCGCCTTTAGCATGCTCTACAATCTCTAGTCGAGTATCACCATATATAAAGGTCAGCCTGCAATATGTACAACCTTCCCTGCTGCAAGCGACCTCGAGTGACATACCAGACGTTCAACTTGACGTCGGCCTCGCATAACCCGGTGGCGTGACATGGTGGACGCTGTCCGTTGGATATTTGCGGAAGTAATACATGGTCTGGGTGCAGGAGAGCCCGTAAAGCCTGCAGTTATATCTTGTTAACGTATGCATGTAAGCCGAGTGAAGATATCAGGCCCACGTACAGGGTACCAAACACGATGCCAATGAAACTACAGCCAATTGTGCTGTTGAGCTGCACAATTTTCGCAGACATAGCGGTAAAAGGAATGGGGGAATATTTGGAATTGGCGCCAATGACGAAGTCGTTTAACTAGCCCTTGGTGTCAGTTGAGATGAATGAGTCGTTCTCAAGTAAGTGGTAACTATCTATCTGGCACATGCCAGAATGCGATGAATGCCGCCGCAGACGGTTGACAGCCTAGTTGCGGTAGAAGCGCATATATGAGCATGTTTTGCCACTTCAAGAGTACGAATGCAAGCAACTATCAGACAAACATGAGATGGTGTTCAGGTCCGGCGAGATCGGCTGTGCACGATAGTACATCATGCACTGAGACAGATGATCTTCGAAGCACGGTACACAGCACTCCCGATCGAAGAAACCTTGTACAAGTGAGCGACGCACTAATGGGGCGTGAGGGTGGTCGCTCATGTCGGCATCTATATGCCGTAGAATGCTACCTGCCTTGGTGAGCACGGATGGACAGGTTGCGACGGGGTACCAGGCCCGGCAGGATTATGAGCAGATTTCGCAGATAGATCACGTCGATACGGTGAGCAGTTCGACAAGTATCCATATTCCAAGTCTGAGGAGCTCAGAGCGACTCGGACGCGAGTCGCCGACTTTGTGCGTATTTGACTTAGCTGTTAGAATGGATGATGACAGCAATAGTGCCAGTCAAAAATCTGATACTTGGCGTTGTATTCTAAATTCGAGAGGTTCGAGCTCCGGAGCAGAGAGATAAATGTCGCAGGAGACAGGAGAGCTCCAGTCGCCAGCGCCTAGTGTCGATCAGAAATGATCAAAGCCGTCGTAGCGTTTTTCTGCACAGGCCTTCCATGTACACTTTGTCCTCACCCGGAGTCCTCCTTCATGAGTCGCCTGCAACGCTTGCACATCTTTTCATCGAGTCTTCAATGTCTAAAAATCTCCACGAGGTCCTTCCTGCTAGAATATCCCCAGTCGCATCATCGGACACTTCGACGCTGTGGTCTGTCATGAGAAATCCGAGCTTTCTGCTGTTAGCGTAACTGTTATCGAATCAACTGTGTATTAGTGACCTACCTTGTGGGTCTATTATGAGATCGTACCTCAACCATTCTGAGTCTGTGCTTCATTGGTCATATCATAGGTGCGTCGTGAGCGTGCCGCCTCTCTTTCGCGTGGAAGGCTGACCCATATGGACAGATCATGCAGAACATTCGTTCATCGATTGTCGCTGCATTGTTCAGGCTAAAGACTCCGAGTTCAAAATGTACAATATACAAGTGTACCACCTTCGCGCAACCTCCGCTATATCCCCATGAGTGGCCCATAGCTCGTCCAAAGATCCATATCCGCCCTCCACTGAATTCCAGATGATTGCCCTCGCCCGTGGTGCGCCGCGCTCAACTTCTGTGCTCGTTCAAAACAGACGTATCCGAGCTTCGAAGCTTTATAGGTGAGTGGGTTTGCCCGCGCGTTGGGCCTGGTGTTCCTCCCATCGAGGCCTGTATCGCTCATTCAAACCCCGGAAAACGATACTCTTGGGCTCGAGGTCGGACTCGTTGCTCAACTCGTGACCGATATCGAGCCCCAGCGCGTTCGGACCATCAATTCGGAAGGGAAAATAATGGTCGTAGTCGGGTGCCTCATCCTGCTTTTGTAGCTGAACACTCCATGAATGCCTGTTGGTTGATTCAAACAGATACAACACTCGCCAGGAGATAACTCGTGTTCTTGAGCTCTTCGGGAATATCCTGTGGTGTCTGCGGCCCCGGGGATTCTACTTCATCGTCGAGGCCGCGGGGCGACAGTCTGGGTGTAATAGGTGGAAGTGGCTGTGGCCTGTGAATCGGTGCGAGGTACCCAGCAAGTCGAAGGTCTCTCAGAGACGCAGTTGTCGGAATTGGCTGGTGTTAATTTAACACGACGTGGGTTCATGTGGGATGGTGGCTGACCTTGCGAAATGATGCTATAATCTGTTGTAGCATGTCATAGTTACTCGTGCTTGCGTCGTCAATATTTGTCACGGAGTCGAGCTCTGTAAGCGCAGACGCGGAGTAGGTGTAGTAGGTACTGGTGTCTGGCCCGGTGGGGACGCGCTTGGTGTTTGAAGTATCAAGAATACAGTCCATTGTACCAGTGAGGATTCGGATGTCAGGTATGATGTATGCTGGATGGAGATTGTTGGTGATGGGAGGTGTATGCGCGAGAGAGAGCAGGGAGAGCGAAGATGCGTAGAAGTGCAAAGCAAGTAGCTCACTTGAGTGGTGTTCTGCGCATCCGGCGCCTACGCGCCTACGCGCATCGCGTGCCCGTGTTCGTGCTCGTAACCTTCCCAGTTATCACACGCGCCCTGCGCGGGGACACAGTCAGGGACAGCCGCTGATGAATACACGGAGACTGAAGTATCTCCCTATGACGGAGATCGAAGTGTCTCCGGCATGGGGAGATATCTCCGGCGTCTAAGAGATATTTCTCTGAGGGGGCGCTTAGCTCCCTGAACGGAAATTCTATCACGTGCGGTGCGAGAGAAATACCCAAGTCACGTGCACTTGCCGCTTTGGGTGGTGACCAAGATTTTGTCTCGTATAGTATCGGGGAGTTTCATTATGGCCAGTTTTCGGCCTCTAATGGAAATATATTTATCATGGCCAGCGCCGGAAAAGGCAGGAGGGTGCAGGAAAGTATGTAAAAAGCGTGTAAAACGCGAGTTTCTAACCCTAATCTGAGTTAGCCTGATTTGGCAGCAACTCAGATTAGATAATGAGAAAGGACCGGACTGTCATGAGTTGGTACGGCGTCTAGCCGTTTTTAATTTTTTCCTTTTCGCGGGCTCGAACCCGCGACCTCTGTACTACATGCCTGATATGGATGCATCGCTATCTACTGTACGATTAGATTAGATGGGCGGCAGTGCACGGCACAGCTTGGGCTCCGCTGACACAGCCTCTCTGACTCACTGGCCCCCAGGGCCGCGTCAGCATGCTGCGCACGGACCAGCTGTGCACGGACCAGTGCGCACAGCCTCCCCTAAACTTCCCCTGTATATAAGCCTGCCTCTGCTGCCCTAGGGACCTCAGTTTTGACCTCTTGTCCCTAGGTCAGTAAGCCCCTGTACTTACTTACTTATTCAATGCTAACTACTTGTCCCTAGCCTTAGGTTTGAGCCCAGCTCACCATCGCTTCGGTAAGACTCAGTCGAACGCCCCCAGCGTCCTTTGTTTGGTTCTCCCCAGTCGCTTGACCCTAAGTCGCGACATTAGGTCGAAACTTCTCACCGCTGCCGGCGTTCCTCGGAACCCACACTCACTTCATCACTTCCTATAGGTTGGGTGGTGCACACCCTGACTGTACCCTACGATATGTAGATAGTATACTATACATCGCCACCGCTTAGGGAATGAACCTTTCAACACCTGCACTTCAGTGGGCGGTGTTTGTCCTAACGGACGCGTGGACTAGGTTCCTGCTGCATAATAGTCAAAAGCAGTACTGGGCCCCACGTGAATCGCGAACCCTAGTGTTACCTTGGGCACCGTAGGTGCAAGCTAGTTTAGCACGGCCTTTCGTAGTACGCGCACCTCCCCTTCCTCCCCCCATCGTGGCTGCGTGTCAAGGCCTTGTTCACGCCTTCGACTCCAAGGACCTCATCGACGTCTACATCACTGATGGTCCTTCTACTCTCATCTTCGCCTGCGAACAACAACCGTGCCCTAATCGCACGCCTCGATCGATCAAGGAGGATTACGAGCGCTACAAGGCCATCAGAAGGGCCCAACATCCGCTCGGCCCCCGCAGTACCCACGCATCTCGATCTGCGTCCCGACACTCCCGCGCTGTCTCTCCCAGCTCTTGCCTTCCCCAAACTGTTGCCAGCACAAGTCAAGCAGGAGGAGATCCCGATCTCCCTGCAGACCCTGCACCAGAGCCAGAGTCTGAAGAGAGTGCGAGTGAAGAAGGAGTCTCGGAGCCCGAGCCTACACTTCACGGTCGGGCCGCATCGCCGGACGCGCTCCCCTCCGCGTCTCCAGTCACTGTCGTACGTGACACCGCCTCCGGGCTTCCTCCCTCGCCTGTACCGCCGTCGCCGCCGTGAGGCCGCTCGCACACTCGCTCCCCCCGAAGTCCACCCGGCGGACAGCCACAACCACCGCCTCCGCCCCTGGGCCGTCCTCCGTCCCCCCCAACACCGATAATGTCCTCTCCCACCGCCGCCCCTGATAAGGAGACGTTGAAACTCCTTCTCCCGCTCCGCTACGACGGGAAGTCGGTGGTCGAATGCAACCGGTTCATCTCGCAATTGCTGATCTACTGGGCGATCAACACGGCCCTCACCACGATCGAGCTAAAAATACAGGTCACCCTCAGTCTCCTCGACGGTGACGCTCGAACCTGGGCCACCCCTATCTTCTCCCAGCTCGCCGCCGTCCAGATTGGGGTCCAGGGAGCCATGACACCGTTCGCCAATGAAGCAGCCTTTCTCACGGCGTTCAAAGCCCGCTTCGGAAATCTCGACGATGCCGCCGCGGCACAGGTAGAGCTCACCAAGCTCTGCGCTGACAAATCCCTGCGCGAAAGACACACCGCCGCGGAATTCTCTGCGCTGTTCAAGGGTCCAGCGGACCGCTCCGGGTATGGGGACCTGGAACTACACGACAAGTACCTGAGCGGCATCCCCTCCCGGGTCTACCGGAAGATCGAGCTCGAGACCTTCACCACGTGGCGAGAAGCTGACACGCGCGCCACCGAGGTTGAACACACAAGGAGCTTCGGCCAGCATCAACGCGGCCGTCGGAAAAGGAGACTTCCCCAGTAGTTGCTTTGGCTGCGGGAAGCAAGGGTACTGACAATTTGAGTGCCCCAATTGTAAGGACAAGCCTTACACAAAACGCGCCGACGTGTGGGCTATGGTTGCCTCGGGTTCCACCCAGGCGGCGACAAGCGCCCCCGTCCCTTCACCCTCGGCAAGTATAAGTGCCGCTTCAGCACCATCGGAGCTGGCGGACTTGATGGCACAGGTGAAGTCGATGCGCGAGGAAGTGGAGCACTATCGAGCGCTCAAAGAAGAGTCTTTTTGATCCGGTCCGCGCTTCGTGCCGCACGCGTCGGACCTCGTAATAACAATTTGTACAATGTATTGGCGACCGCGAATGTTTACGAGTTGGACCATGGGTCCCAGCACTTCCACATCCCGGTGCGCCTCAAGGGAGAAAGACGGCACAAGGATATAATTGCAATGGTGGACAGCGGAGCCACCACGAAGTTCATCAACAAACGTTTCATCACGGAAAATCGAGTACGAGCGCGGAAATTGAAAGAACCAATCCCGCTTTACAACATCGATGGAACCCTCAACAAGGATGGAAGCATCTCGGAAGTAGCAGTGCTACAGATGCAGATTGGAGATCACGTCGAGAAGACGGTGTTTACGGTCACAGACATAGGTCCAGAGGATGTGATCGTCGGGTTGGATTGGCTATGCAAGCACAACCCTGAGATTGATTGGGAGTTGGGCTCCCTAAAATTATCGCGATGTCCTGAAACGTGCAGTGCCAGGAGGACTGGCCGGATGGAGCAAGCAGCGACTGCGCGTGATACGGGGGTCAGGCCCACGGCGCGCAGGCGTTCGCCGAAATCCAAACGGTCAGTCATAGGTGCCTGCTGGAGTAAGGTACTACCGGACTTCGAACCCGAAGAAGATCCGGTAGATGTCGAGTGGGACGAAGCCGACTTGATCGAGGCCTGGGAGCAAGGTATTACGCTTCCTGGCGCCCCTCAACTGTTCGTCGCAGCCGGGCATACGTACTCCCAGCTGTTCACTGAGGAGGAGATCAAGAAGAAAGTCGTTAAAACCGCTGAGGAGTCGGTGCCTAAACAGTACCACGAGTTTCTGAAGGTCTTCTCAAAGGAAGCATCAGAACGGCTACCCGAGAGGAAGCCGTACGATCATGCAATCGAACTCGTGCCCGGCTACTCGACATTCCATTCAAAGGTCTATCCCCTGTCGAACAACGAGCAAGAGGAGCTTGACAAGTTCCTAAAGGAACAGCTAGCGAAGGGTTACATACGGGAATCGAAGTCACCTATCTCATCCCCCTTCTTCTTCATCAAAAAGAAGGAAGGGATGCTTCGACCCATGCAGGACTACCGTCGGTTGAACGCGATCACGGTTAAAAATCACTACCCCTTGCCGCTGATCGCCGAAATGGTCGACAAACTCCGTGGCGCCACACTGTTCACGAAGTTCGATGTCCGATGGGGATACAACAACGTCTGGATCAAAGCCGGTGATGAATGGAAGGCGGCCTTCGTAACTAACTGGGGTCTGTACGAACCCCTGGTGATGTTCTTCGGCCTCACCAACTCCCCTGCGACTTTCCAGGCGATGATGAACGAGATCTTCCACAATCTCATTGTCGGCGGCAAGATCCTCGTGTACCTAGACGATATACTCATCTTCTCTACCAACAAAGAGGAGCATGAGAAGGTTACGCGCGAGGTCCTCCGCCGCCTGCAGGACAACGATCTGTTCCTAAAGCCTGAAAAGTGTGAATGGGATGTTCCCAAAGTCGACTACGTCGGCTATGTGTTCGGTGGCGATGAGGTGGCGATGGATCCCGCAAAGCTAAAAGGAATTAATGAGTGGCCGGTACCCCGGAACAAAAAGGACATTCAGAAGTTCCGGGGGTTTTCCAATTTCTACCGCCGCTTTATTAAGGACTTCGCCAAGATCTCGCGACCACTCGACCGACTCACAGGGAACGACCCATGGCATTGGGGCGAGGAAGAGCAGCACACCTTCGATGAGCTCAAGCGGCTCTTTGCCACAACTCCGGTCTTGGCGCTGTATGACCCAAATCGAGAGACACGCATTGAGGTTGATGCCTCGGGCTACACCACTGGCGGCGTATTGATGCAGAAGCAGGACGACGTCAAATGGCATCCTATTGCCTTCCGATCTCATGCTATGGACCCTGCCCAGCGTAACTACGAGATCTACGATAAGGAGATGCTTGCGATCATTGAAGCACTAGAAGATTGGCGCCACTATCTCGAGGGATTGCCCAATCAGTTCGAGATCGTCACTGATCACAAAAACCTCGAATACTGGCGCACGTCCCAGCACCTCACGCGTCGTCAAGTGCGATGGTCTGTCATGACTTAGGGTCAAGCGACAGGGGAAAACCTAAAGCTGGGGGCGTTCGACTTGTCTTACCGAAGCGATGGTGAGCGAGGCTCAAACCTAAGGCTAGGGACAAGATAATATATTAGTTAGGTAAGGAAAAAGGAATACAACTGAAGGCTTACTGACCTAGGGACAAGAGGTCGAAACTGAGGTCCCTAGGGCAGCAGAGGCCGGCTTATATACAGGGGAAGTTTAGGGGAGGCTGTGCGCACTGGTCCGTGCACAGCTGGTCCGTGCGCAGCATGCTGACGCGGCCCCGGGGGCCGGTGAGTCAGAGAGGCTGTGTCAGCGGAGCCCGAGCTGTGCCGCGCACTGCCGCCCCATCTAATCTAATCGTACAGTAGATAGCGATGCGTCCATATCAGGCATGTAGTACAGAGGTCGCAGGTTCGAGCCCACGAAAAGGAAAAATTAAAAAACGGCTAGACACCGTGCCAACTCGTGACATTACCCCCCCCTCAACGGCGCATGACCTCATGCAAGGCGCCCTTGCCCATCTCCCACCCAGAGCGGCATCGTGCTTCAGTCAGCGGCGAAGGCATTGGCTGAAA